CCTGGGACGCCATGACGACAGCGACACTCGCGTTCGCTCGTGCTTTTCGTCAGCATTTCTACGAGCAACCGCCAGGATCGCAACAGGCAACAATATGACACTCCGGCTTCTGTGACGTCGTTCGGGACCACCTTTGACGTATGGGCGGGATAGGACGCGAAACACACCAGTCGGAGACGCACTCCAAGCCCCATAATCCTAGTGTCAGTCAGATTTCAAACAAATTGGAATAAAGATGTATTTTGTCACGATAGTCATGTGCCCAAGTGTGGAACACAACTCGAGCGGTAAGATCACCCAGGTAACTTGAAATGATTCTTCTGGTAGCGGTTGTATCGAATCGATATGAGTTCTAACTGAAAGTATGCTGGATCTCTAAGGATAAATATTCTCTCAGAGTAAGACGTCTTCATGTACAGACATTTCTTTATAGGCGAGACAAGGCCTTTATAAGTGATTAGATTTTGAAGTAAACCATCACTCAGAATTGTATGGTCAATGATACGGCCAGGTGGTTAATATGTAATGTAGCACGGGCTGTCATATACGCTACGTGCATTTTGTTACACTGAATAGGTTCTTTTATTTTTTATCCTGTTCACTTGCAGATTTGGAAACGTGCCACAAGTGCTTCCCAGGAACGAATTAGAAAATTCAATTTTGCTGCATTAATTAGCTTTTTTTATGTTGATAATTTTGCATTTAGTGTAAAAACTAGGTAGCAGATGGTGAACAATAAAAATAAGCATTATCCTTTCCCCACAAAATCTGAATTAATTTGCACAGGATTACGTTTACTCTGATATTTGTTCGCGAGACGGGCCATGACGGGAGAAAGAGAGCTAATTTTTGTGACACTCCAATTGTAGTATCGTTGCATGGCATTGCGAGGGCTTAACTTCTCCTTAAAAGGCGAAACTTTATATGGCCATTTTTTCGCTTTTCAACACTGAGCGTCCGTAATTTCAGTACACCATCCATGCCTTTTATGTTTGTTCATAATATGATGCGAGCACATGCGGCTCTAACTCGAATTCGCACATACTTTCAGCTTGCAGCCGCGAGCGCGTGCCATCAGAAGCCCAAAAGCTGTTCACACACTGGCGTTTTGTTGTAACCGAATTTGTTGTGCAGGTTTGTGATATCTTGAGACGATATAACACACTCGCGACATGTATCAACTAGCCGTAGAACACTTGCGATTTCGTATATCTCCTATTTCTTTCGCTCATAATGTGTTTTATTAGGAGCATGAACCTTTTTGACACCGTTATAAACGAGCATTTTTCATATATAGTACGTACATGTTATCTCGAATATACCGAAAACCCCTCACTCTAGTTAATTGCAGTTCTAGGGCACCTCCTAGATGGCGCCAGCGTGCCCATGTGGCCTCTCGTCGTAAGAGGTCTTAAGGGAGCACTGGGCTGCACAGAGCACACGGTTGCAGCCATACGCAATTGTGTGAACCAGCCTTAACTATAGAGCAACGGTCGCTCCGTCAATGCCAGCCTTGCTTTCTTTCCCAGGATTTAAGGCTGGAGTAAACTGCTGCGACTCCCCACAGCGAACGACCCCTGACTGCCTACCTATAGACGTTGAGGACGACGACCCTTTCTATGCAGACAAAAACAGAACCTGCTTGCCCCTCTCGCGGGCGACTCCGTGCTTCCTGTGCAAACTCGGTGAGACTGAAAGTGAACAATCGGTATGTGAAACTCGTGTTTAGGTGCATATATGGGCGGATCAAAAAGACAACGACACTTGCTCTGGATCACCGAGAGAATCCTATTAGGAGTTTTTTGTTATTTTTGAGACAACAGGGCCTGCTTATACTTCAACGAAACATCAGCGAGAGTCCGTACTTTCTTCATACCTTCGTTGCCAAGTTCAAATCAAGGTTGGCGTTGGTTAGCGTTGCACAATTTCCTTCAGCGCCTGTCACCGGTCGAGAAGAACGTGGTTTTCAATTTATACAGCCAGCGACACCTCAAGAAATTCGGGTATTATATTCTCGCTTATGGCTTTGGGATTCATTTTTCGGCGTTTTTATTCGCTAATGCCGTAATTTGTTTTGAGGATATCAGTAACTATATATTGCCAAAGGGCACATAGCCGAGCCGTGGTAGGGCTGTGCGCGAACGAAGCTGTGCGACGTTAGCCTCGTGTTACACGCGAGGAAACAAGATGGCCAAGTTAAGAAGAAAGAAATGAATAGTATGAATAAACTGTCGTCGTGGCGGCGCGTATTTGTTCAAGTTGACGACTATGCACAGCAGAGTTGTGGAGCAAACTTGTGATTTGTTTGCTGTGTCAGTAACCATAGTCTAATTTACTTTTAGGTTACAGGGTACAAGTAAACGACAAAACGTCGTACCTTGACGCATCGCAGGTTTACGGCGCTAGAAAGAGGGAAACGGACACCCTTCGCACGTTTCGAGATGGTACGTTGAATTCCAGATTCACTAACACGCGGTTTACAGACAAGCCCGCGTTACTTGGTGTAGGTGATGCAAGTGCACGCAAATCGAATTCGTCCCAGGTGAAGTCCCTTGGAAGACTAGACATCCATTTTTCTACAAAATGCCTACAGAAAATATTCTAACGAGGCTATAAGTATTCTAAATACAGTGTAGCGACTGTATACAGCTTTTTCGTATTTTTTTGTAGACTTTCTATATCAAATAGTGTATAGAGATTGTTTAGAAAGTGTATAGAAATTGCATAAAAAAGAATTAAGAAGCTAACAACGTTTCTATCGTCTTTCTAAAAACAATGAGGCTATATCGAGAAAAAGAATTCTTAACATTACTTTTAGGTTTGTCTCAATATACCCATCGATACTTGCACTCGCCACTTGCCTCGTGCACATACACATATATATATCAGAAATGCACATCCCAGGGACCACTCATAACACTAGTAATTAGGTAGTGTTGACTGCACCACGGCCATGTTATGATACGTTGCACTTGGAAGTTGGAAGGCAATTATTTGAGCGAGGATCACCCCAGAAGATAAAAAAGATTACCAGTCTTTTTTTCTTTATAAAAAATGTGGTTTCTATTGCCTGGTAAATGGTATGTTGATCTATAAAGCATTGCAACAAGCGATACTAATCTGATTCAGGCGAATAGAGCAGCCTCCGCAAGGAGGTTTTAACCGGGTGTGATGTGGCTTCTCCGCATTGCACCTTATTATTCTTTCGAGTATAGTCTATAGAAATTCAATATAATATGAAGACAAGAAATCTATTCAGAGATGGCGATAGAAATTCTATAGCTTTTCCATCGTCTCTAGTGGAGCCCTGCGCGGATAGCATTTTGATCATCCGCATTCGATGCGCATCCGCGGACTTTGTATCCGCACACGAACCGCATGCGTGAGTCTGCTGCGATAGCGCATGCGCGGTTCGTTCCGGAGGGACCATCGCATCGTGTCCGATGAGCAGAAACGGTTCCCTAAAAGCCACCCTTTTGTCCGCATCCCGTTCGTATCCGCATACTTTGTTTCCGCATCACAACTGCATCGGGAAAATTTTATAACTGCTACTGACCCAAAATTTGCGTATTCATGTTAACTTATAAAATCAAACTTGACTAACAAAAGACAAAAAAAGCGTCCGTAAATTGTACTTTATAAATTATGCAGTTCGTTTAAATTTGTACAATATCTCTCAGAGTCAGAACACGGTAAAAGTCGTTTGATCGCAGTTTGTTTTGTCGTCGCTAGAAAGATAATCGCAGTTATGAGATCGACCTGGGGAGGCTGCGCGACACAGCCCAGAAAATGGGCTCAAAAGAAAACCGTAATATCGTTTTGTATTTTTGTTTTGTCTGCGCACGCGAAGTGCCAAAAGCAGCGCCCCCGCGTTTGCGTGACGTCAGAAAGTTGAGTTGGTCAATACTCGGGGAAATGGGACCAAAATGAAGATTTGCGTACTTGGATTCCAAATCAACGAACACGTCAGTCACGCACCAGCGATGAATCGATATTGAATCTATAGACCTTTCCAGCGCTTATCATGCCGGCAAAAAATGCTGAGTCACTGAGCGGTGTACCTATGCGCAGCGTTCGATATATCGTAGTACAGGAGAGATACAGCATATGCTCAGAAAGCGTTCCACAGCCCAGCAAACAAAGATGGCAGCGCGCAGAAGGCGATTTTTGGAAAGATCTGCGAGGAGCTCTAGTTCGTCTGCTTCTTCCGAAAGGGTTGTGGTGACGTCACAAAAAACACCGAGCTCTGATTGGCTCGGATAGAAGGATAGCGAGTAGACCTCAAAGTAAGCCGGCACAAGGTCTACCCAGAATCATTCAATCAGAGCCAATCAGAGCTCGGCGTTGTTCTGACGTCACCGCAACCCTTTCAGAAGAAACACCGCAACCCCTTCAGAAGAAGCAGAACGCATAAAACGTCAACGAGGTTTTTGTGTTGGAGCTCACACCGCAACGAACGTGAAAGTGGATAACTTTCGCACCAGTCAACCAATGATCTCCATTTCCATTAATGTATATTCTGACAATGCATTCCGTTATATCTGTTATACGGGATTTATTTTGCGGTAAGATCTTAGACACGGTGATTCTATTAATGCTTCTAACTTCATGAATGGACGCTATCATACGTTCGACAGCGGCTGCCGATGATGGAGCCATTCAAGCGGCAGCAACACAGCGTCGTCACCACACTCGTTCCAAAGCAATCACGCGCACAAAGAAAAAACAGGCGCTGAGTCATGGGTCATTCGCTGCGAGTGATTGATTTAGCCGAAAAAAGGAAACGCACAAAGGCGACGAGTTCCGCGCCGTTGCACTTTTCTGCGTAGCTTGATTGTTTCCATCTTAGCGTGGGTGACAGTCAGACTTACTGTAAAAATTAGTGTATAATATCACGGGATGAAGTCACGTTGAGCTGACTCCTTTTGGAACCGTTCAATGAGTTTTTTTTGTTGTTTTTGTTGTTGCACGCGTTTATTCCAGGGCTTCTGCGCTCCACTATGGTGAATGGAGAAGAACTTCTACTGCCGAGTTCAAACCCTGAGAGTGACGGGTGCAGCCTACCGAGCGAAAATCAAATTTGCTTCACATCGGGTAAAACTCATTAGTACCATGGTCAAAATATAATTCTTTCTCAATGGGTCACCTTCTGAAAGGAATTCTGTCAAGAAGCACTTGCGCTTAAGCAACAAAGTATTGGAAATGGTATAAATGTAGTCAATCGTACTTTTTTTTTTTTGTATGAAACATGCTAAGCTGAATTTTACGACTAAGTTGAGGAACAAGATTGCACAGGTGGGATCACATTTTCGGTGAACCGTTCTTCTGAAGACAGCGAACTACACAAAGAGTAGGGTGTTCGGATTGCAGCTCACAATGGGAGGTTTTCACTTAATAAATACGTACGTATCTCGCTTCGCTGCTTGAATATTGTGTTCTGTGCAAATTCTGTCTCCCTCAATTTTTGATTTTTGCGAAAACTTTTTTTTTTGTTTGTTGCTATATGTAAAGGACAATCTCGGTATGAGCACTCAAACATACAGTTGCCAATGCATTGAATTGAATATGACCGCTGCCGGTTTCTATTCCTCTGTTCTGAAACGCTTTTTTTTTTTTTTTTTTCAACGTCCCTTGTGAAATTATGTTTTACTCGGGTGCGGAAAAACTCGTCCGTAGTGCTTTTAATCAATACCTTAATAAACGCAGGGAATGGTCAATTTTTCGGAACGGTCAAGATACGTCTTTATGATCGAGTGAATACACCTAATTATAAAAAAGCGCGACACAAAAAAGTACGCAAATGGGTCCCACATACCGAGTTCACTAAATATAACTTCGCACACTCGCCTTTGTTATAATTTGCCATTATCTAACGTTTGTTTTCAGGTGATGGCCGAGTTAACTTTACTCCAGGACTCACTGTGATACACACCCTATTCCTGCGGCAACACAACCGAATCGCAAAAATGTTGCGGTCTGTAAACAGTGACTGGGACGACGAAACGTTGTTCCAAGTTGCAAAGTAAGATGGATAACTTTATCTTCAATGCACACATTTATTTTATAGCTACACGCACGTCATTGCTCATTGTATCTCCATCTCAAGGGCTTGGTCTCACGCAGACGGCACCCCGAAATCATTTTGATATTTGAAAAAAAAAAAAAAAAATGCAAACAACAGCAGAAAGTGGGTTGGCCTTGACAGCGACAGCAGTTGCGTTGTTGAAGGATGAGCTTCAAGCCGCGGTCATAAGGCTAATACACCATCAAAAAAACAGTATGCAGAAATTGACTCCGTAAGTGGGACGTCATGGGTCCAAACAAACCGTTGCTAGGGTCGTTGTTATGGACAACTACATGTGGCTAGGTTTCGCTACGAAAACCCGACCGTTCAAAAATCAGGAGTAGGATTTAAACTTCTAAAAGTCACAGATATAGAAAGCTTGAATGTCCTATATGTTTCGACAGAAGTGTGCCGCTAATCGCTTGTTTCTGAAATGTTTACGACTGCAACTTCAAGATGCCTGCAGCAGACGACGAATGCAAGTAGTGTGCCGTCTGCCACACGCCCTCCGGCCAAGCCGGCGGTGGCGTCTGAATCGTGTGAATAAAGACGATATTCTGATAGTGCATTTGTTCTAAATATAATGATTTCCAGTAACTTAAAATAATTAATAGTGGGGTTCGATGCAAAATATGGTTTATCGAAAGTCCGGGCGTCGATCGAGATTGTCGTTTGCTAGAAGATCGCATTGGACCCGTGGGAAAAGCACTTCAGGCGATCGGTCGAGATCCCAAATTTTGTTTGTGGACTCGCGCTATGTGAGGGTGAGTCGTACCTGGTTGTAAACATCGCTGCAATGGTTACTGAAAAATCGCGATAGACATGGAATTCTTTAATAACCTGACAACCTCAATAATAAATAATAATAATAAACGAATTACCTTGACAGCGTACGATTTGTTTCTGATACTAGCTTGCACTGCGCCGGTAAAGCACTTCAGGTCGTCGTTGTACATGATCTACATGACGTGGTTTCATTTTACGGCATTTTCACCCTCTGAACTAAGCTGGGTTCTTCACAGAAAGAAACGCACATTGCGGAGGCCTCTACGGCGACGGCAATGCGCTTGTTTTTGTCGCTTGTTTACCGGCGCAATTGAAGACGGCCGCTGCAACAGAGGCCAGCAAATCTATCATGTCGTCTGCTACCAAAGCAAAGCGGAGTGTAATACTTCAGAAATGGCTTTAATTGTTGCAATATGACACTGAGACGAGAAGAACATCTTCATAATTAGATATCAAGAAGTTAGGTTGCTTACAAAAAAATTATTTACTTACTTGTAAGCAAAAATCTAGCCTCATGTGGAGTCTCCATGCATTAGTCCATAGCAACGCCCCTAGCAACGGTTTGTTTGGACCCAGACGCCAGGTTGTGACGTCATCACTTACGGCGCCAATTGAGTGAGGCGTACTTTTGCGCCTTTGCATTTTTCTAAAATCTCAGTGACAATGGTAGCGCTGTGTCACTAATCGCGCGTGGTTTTCAAAATGAAATATGGCGGGCCTATAGTTGTACCACACTATTTTTAGTGCAGATAGATAACTCGGATGTCGCTGATGGCACGCATTCAAAAAACCTTGTGCCGCCACAGACGCATCGTGGAGTCCCAGATCCAACAAGTGTTCTACGGAGAATGGCTGCCAACGTTCGCAGGCCGTGACGCAGTCGAAAAGTACGACTTGTTGCCGCTGCAGTCTGGATTCACGACGTACGACGGCGCCGTGGACGCCACCATGATTGACGAGTTCTCTTCGGCGGCCTTCAGGATGGGGCACTCCCTCGTCAGCGGCAGGTTTCTCCGGTTCGTCCCAGGCGAAATACCAGCGCCTTTCAGCTACTCGGGAACTTAATAACATTGATGCTTGCTGCGGTTTCTTTAAGAACGCGTGAAACGTGTGAAGCACTCCGCGTGTATTGCTTCTACCGGGTGTTCCAAATAATGGTCAGGCTCTTTAAATTGACCGAAAAATTCGGTTTCTTAACCTATAGCGCTACGACTTTGTGCAGCGTTGCCCACCGATGGTGCACTTTTTTTTTTGTAAAATTTGCAAAAAGCGAGCTCACCTGTGGAAAAAGTAAACAAAAGACAAAGGCCTAACTCCTATAGAAATGCAGCGAATCCAGCAGTATTCAAACAAAAGGGCTCCGTATTGTTTGAAGACCGGTGACTTCACTACATTTCTATAAGAGTTAGACTATATTTCTTTTTTTTTTTTTTTACTTTTTCCTTAGGTAAGTTTGCTCTTTGCAAATTTTAACAAAAAATGCACTATCTGTCGGCAACGCTGCACAAAATCGTAGCGCGATAGGTTAAGAAACCAACTTTTGCGGTCGATTTAAAGAGCCTGCCCGCTATTAGGAACGCCCGGTAGAACGTTTTCTAAAATGAAGGAGCTTATTAAAAAAAAAAATATATATATATACAGTTTTAAACCACTACGGTTATCTAAGGCTCCTTTGTTTCTACGAGAATCGCCTTTTTACGTAAGTTCTTTAAGTCTCAGCGTCAAGAAGACGCTACTACCATTTGGCAACTTCAGCAGACGGTAACTAAAGCATATCTCGTTTTTTTACTTTTATTAAAAGCAGGTTATGCATTATATTTTTGTGGATATAATTCAGAGTGTTTTTTTTTTTTTTTTAACGTAGCCCTTGGTTAGTCGCAATATATAAAATAATTTAGATGTTTTTCTTCTCTACTTAAGTTTTGCGCGACATACCTAGTATATCTTTGTCCTCGTTTCTATTTCTAGCGAGCGCTACAATGCATCCAATGATGTATTTCATGCGCATGGAACTTTGACGTGTTATTTCAGAGTAGGCGCAGACAATCAACAGCAAGTCGGTCAACTAAGAGACTGGTACTTACGCCCGTTTGACTTGTACCAAAACGGCTTGGACGACACAATGCGTGGCATGCTACTGACCCCCATGGCTGCCTTCGACAGGCGAGTAGATCCCACTAACAAAACTTACAATTCGCTTTTACCGCGAACAAATGTTAACGCCTTCACTAAGTCTCTCCATATCAAGGACCAGGCATGAAAATGTTCACCTTCAGTCCGCCTAGAGTTTGCAGCATAGGATAAAGATCCTTCCAATTCTGAATTTAGATGCGCGAAGAAACCCTTGTGGGGGAACCCCAACAAGGGTCACAACATGACAGAACCAAAACATTAGCTTGCACTATTCTATAGCAAGTCTGTACGTTCACTTTTCTGCAGAACACGAAGCTTGCATGCGCTACAAATAGCGGAAAACTGCGAACGAATCACGAATGTAAAAATACGACGAGACGTAGAAACAAAATAATAAGCTAACTTTCGCTTAAGATTCCGCCATTCGCGACCTCTAGGCGACTGGCAGTCGCTGGAAGAATCTGCCTGATCCGGGTATCGATTCCGTGACTTATCCACTTTACCAACTCAGCTAACCAGAAGCCGTCAGTATAAATAAAGGATATTAACAGTGTCTACCAGGCTTGATCGTAAACATTGCAAGAATAAAAGCTAAACTTCAATTGCTAAAACAAATGTACACCTCTTTGTAAAACGCCCGCAGATGATCGCCAACTTTTTTACTAAAAACACGAGGTTTTTCTTAGTTTAGAGATTATTAATTCAACTTCCTCGTTGACACTGTCTCTCAGCACAGGTTTGGAAGCGCCGACATGAACGAGTACTTCTTCAAGGAACAAGGGAACAACTTCGGCTTTGACATATTCTCCATCGACGTTCAGCGGGGACGGGACCAAGGCGTCAGAGGCTACACGGACTACGTTGAGTTCTGCAGTGGAGTCAAGATAAACACGTTCGAAGACCTCTACCTGAAGAATCTGATGTCCAAGGAGACGGCGGGAATATTTCAGAGCCTTTACAAGTAATGTTTTCAGATATATTCTTGGATCTCTACAATAATTCCTTTTCAGCGAGCGGGCTTTTACAGTTTAGGTTAGGTTTGTAGCGTTGAATTAGGTTATATCAGGTTCTGATATGATTACTCTGTAGAATGTGTCATTATAAACGTGAGTATGTTTGCGAGTGCCCGCTATTGTATGTTACTATTTAAGCTCATTACTGCGAAGACTAACGACCAGCATTTCGGTTTGTGTGTCAGCATCAGTGCACGCGAGCGAAGGTGACATCTAGTGACATTTGAACATTACATTATATGCAACATTGTCCGCCTGTGTCTGTACGCAGGCATAACAAGCGCGGCAGAAGCAATGCAGTCCGATGCATCTCTCTACTTTAACTTTATGCTTCCTCTTTGTTCCATTTACTCGCATAAATTTAATTACGGAACCCATGTCATTTCTGCATCTGCCGTTGAGAAAAATATCCTGCCACGGTGCCACCATGTGTTACGTTCAAACTTTTGCAAACGACTCAACGGTATAGTAATACAAGTCTACAATAAACTGCGCCACTGTTGGCGAAATGTATTTGAGTACTGCTAAGGTTTTGTTGAAGCTCAAACAAAAACAATCTGTTTGTTTTCTTCTCGCAGAAACGTCAGTGACATTGATTTGTTTTCCGGAGCCATTTCGGAGTACGTCGTCGAAGGAACCATCGCTAGCGCCACGGTGCACTGCATTACTCTTAAAGTGTTCAAGAGGCTGAAGTGGGGTGATCGGTTCTACTTCGAACATGCGGGCCAGGCAGGATCGTTCACATTAGGTATACTAATCTTATTGCCGCGGTCCATTAAACCTCTAGACAGATATTTCCGATTTTAAACCGTAAAAAAAGAAAAAAATTGTTGACCCTTCGAAATTTTTGAAGCGCGTTCTGAATGCATTGCGTTCAGAATGTCTTCGTTCACGTTTGTTCATAAGCAGTCTGTCGCGCATGTTGAAAAAGAGGCCGCATCTCCACGTGGTGAATGATGTTGATTCGGGCGGAGCTCTGGTGGTGTTGATGATACTGATTTTATTGTTCACAGGTAGTGCTGATGGGGCTGTTTTTTATTGCTCAGGTGTAGTGCTGAGTTCCGGGATGCCGTTTCGACTTCGTTATTACTCCTTTATGGTCGGTGAAATGCAGAGCCAGTGGTTCTTCTAGCGGATATCTTGGATCCGCCAGAAGCCGTGGGAACGCATCTCCACCGCTTAAGTCAACAGTCCTTGTCTGAAAGAGAATGTGTGGCATGGATCGTGGTTATATACGCAATTGAGCATTTGACCGCAGCACCCTCTCGTCTATAAACGTTGAGCCAATGCATGCAAAGTTTAACGCAATTATATACGCATTTGACCGCAGCGCCATCTGCCGTACAGATGTTGAGCGGCTACATGCAACGTTGGAGTGTAGCGTAGTGGTTAGGGAAAAAAAAGAAAAAAGTAGCGTAGTGGTTAGGACGTCTGCTGTAAGCAAGCGGTCGTGAGTTCGAACCCCCGTGCGGGCGTACCACTTTTTTCTAAAAGTGGGCCGATCCCGGAGGCAGTGCAATCGATGTGAGCACGGTCGCCGGACGGATGGACAAGGCTAGGCCCTAAGGAGCTTCGCCCCTAAAAACCGCACTGAAGAGAATGTTCTTTAACTGGCGCTTGGACTGGCGGTCGGCTTCTGTCTACTGTCCTCCTGTCTCTGCTGGGCCGGCGCCTTTGTTGTCCAGCCATGTCCCTCACACATCTTTTTGCTGCGACCACCGTTGCCGCTCCTGCCGTGCGTTCCTTGCTGCTTCGTCACCTTGCCGCGCCCTCTCATTCTCGTGTGGATACCGGGCTTATGCCAGGCAAGATTGCTATTGTTGTTTGATGAACCTGCAGAGGCGAGGGGGGGGGGGGGGGGGGGGAGGGCGTTTGCGTTCCCAGTCAACACTTTCAGAAATCTAGAGCGTCTGCTTCTCCCGAGAAGAACTTGAGAAAGAAGCTCGGCCAATGACAAGGGATATAATGTGATTATACAAAAAAAAAGAAAAAGAAACTACGCTGGGGCATTGAGCATAGCGTTTCCACGTGCACAGTGCCACAGCGCAGACAACAGACAGCCTAAAAGGAAATACAACCAAACAAGGTTGCAGTTCGGAATCTTTTCAGTCACCTACCAGAGGCCGGTATAGGGCACAGGTTGGGCCTGATTGCAGCGTCATGGTGTGTCTTGGACTGGTGTGCATTCAGTGAGGACACCAGTTCTAGCCGAACGCCGACGCAGCACTCGTGAACAGCCTGTATCCCGCACTGGCCTCTGGAAGGCGGCGCTGAAAATGAAGCACTACGGCGCGGGGCGAAAATGTCGGTTGCGCAGCCCTTTCTCCGCCAGCATTTTGGCCGGACTTGAATTCAGCAACTGGGGATTCATAGGCCGGCATTTTGCCTCGGGGGCTACTGAAGCAGGCTTGAGCCACTTTAGTTCGTCTAAACTGAACTGAACTCGCGCGTGTAGTCTAAAAGGCTACACACGCGAGTTCCTTGCTCTTGATCGCAACTCGGCTACTGAAATGCTCGAGCAGCTGGAACACCAAAGGTACTTGCTCAAAGGTGTACCCTCATCGTTTATTATATTTTTTATTCCCAGACCCTTTTTAACTGAAGCGTAACTAGCTCTCTCCTTCACATACCCTTGAAAAAGAAACATTGAAAGGTAAAACGTTCTTTCAGCAAATGCGCTGAAAAACCCTACAGACAAATCATAAATTTATGAAGGAACTCTCAGAACTTTTACAATATGTTGAAGGGGAGATCGAGACCTTTCAGGAAAATCCAATGGGCCTCACACATGCTTCTTTTCAATGTGATATATACGTATTAAAGTCACATCCGCAAGCAGCTAGGGCTTCATATTTCTAAGGAGAATTCTCAAAGGAGCCTGAGTTTATGCACCGCGATAAGCTTGGAAGCCCAAGTATTGTTCATCCTTAAAACAGCTTTGCCAACCAAAAGGACAAAGGTGTCAGGCTTTAATTGTAATGCACTTCTAATGACCAAAGGGTTAGGCACCTTTTGGTAACTGTTCTGAAAAATCATTAATATATACTAATTCTCGCCATCCTCATTGACTAAAGTGATTAAACAAAGGCCGATGAATATTGCTACGAGTTCATAACGGTACAACATTAAAAGAGGAGCTTTACAGAATATAAGAACCCAAAGTCCTACAAGTGTTGTAGCGATTGCCCTTCTAACTAAGACGAGATTACCCCGCAGCTCAACTGAACTCACTGAGGAATACGACGTTCGCCAAGATCATCTGCGCAAACAGCAGGAGCATCACGGCCATCCAGCGAAATCCATTCATTCCGGAGGGCCCTCTGTGAGTAAACCTAAACACAGCGTCTGATTACTAGAGTTTGTGAAAAAGCTCCGCCTGCATCCCATGTTCCCCACTGGCCAGGTTGTACTGAAGGCCCGTGCAAGAATACTCGTTGCACTGAGTGCACTAATCATTGGGGTTCCTTTCACTGTTCAGGAACTAAAAGATTAAACGGAATCGTACACAAATGCTATGCAGACGTTATGGCCCTTGGAGCGTAAAGCTGATCTTCCACGTCACTGCCACGTCACTGAATAAGTGGATTAGAGTCACCGACATCTCAAGAAAAGGAGGGCGTGGCTTTTTATGTTCACGCTCATTGCTTCGTGATTGCTTGCTGGGCATTCCTATTGACTCATGTCGGAATTTCATTAGCTGCGAATTGATAATTAGGTGCACGGACACGCGGCGCCACGTGACTGCAGTGACATGCCATGAAATTGAGCTTAAAGGGCAATTCTGGACTCTTAATTGCAGGAATTAGTGCGTGCTGAAAACATGATAGTCTTAGATTCGTCTACGGCTGACACACTGCTTACAGTTTAATGAGTATTAGTGAAATGCAACTAATATCTCCAATTTTTCATATTTCTCCCAGAAATCCGAAGGTGAACTGCTCAAGCCTACCAGACATCACAATCGGGCATTGGCGGTCGTAAAAACGATAGCCCATGATAGCGGGATGCCCATACTTTTCCCCGGTGACTGTAAGCAAAATACAAATCTCAAGATGCAAGAGCTCACCTGTTCGCTTTTTTCGTCCTGCATTTAAACACCATCGTTGCGGTGGCGAAAAATGTACATTGTACTTCGGACTTGTCGTAAAATGAATACCTGTCACTTTTTTACTCCGCTGTAGTTTGTAACTTGTTTGCACTTTGGTTTGTAGTTTTGTAGTTTGTACAAGATACAAACTCGTAGTTTGAATACACAAAGGAGAGAAGTAACTTGAGTAGCGTTTTAATTATGTTGTTTTAAAGAAACTGAAAATTTGAATAAATATCATTTGCAAAGAGAAATCTTGTCACGCTCTAATGTCGCTTCTAATTAGAACCAGCATCAATGTATTAAGAAAAATGTTCATTGCAACTGCCGCCACGCGGTGGCACTCCCTGCGAGAACTTAGTACAAAGAGCTTCGCCGTATGAAACGAAGTAGAGGGCCTTAGAGCGATAAACTGGGAGCTGAAAGTGACCCCATTCGGCCGCCGCCATGTTGCATATTTTTGACCACTAGACACGTGACCTTATAGTTTTCTAGATTTTAACGAAGTACCGGACACAAATAACTGCCTATTGATCTTTAATAACAGTACTGACGAGAAAAGTTTTGTTTTGTTTGTTTTAAGACCAAAATGTACTTTTACGACAAAAACTCGGGCAGCTTCGCATTGCCTCCGATAGATGCCGTCATCCGCGGTGCTGCAGTTTGGATTTTTTTTTTAGCTAGACATTGACCTCTGGGGCTAACCGTATAGAAAAAACAGTTTATCATGTTTTCTACACCTATCAAAATACAAATCTCGGTTTAATTTGGCATAAAAGCCTTAGAATTTGGTACGTGTCGCCTGTCTAGGGGTCAAAACTCTAAAACGTGGCGGCAGCCAAGGGAGGTCACTTTTGCCTCGTGA